CCCCCCCCTCGCCAGCTTCCCGCAAGATACAACATCGCCCACAACTCGTCTTGCTGGCTCACACTCGCGCCCTCAACGCATTCTGCGTGAAAGCAGAGGGGTGTGCGATACAGGCAGCCAAAAGATTCCATCCCATTTCCAATGGAAATCTTCCTCCGCAAAAAAATTTCACTCTTGTTGCCCTGCCCCGCCCCTCTTCTCGCCTACTTTCTCTTGGAGCTCGTAGTGCCCTTTGGCAATTCCTGCTCGCGTCGTCGGTCACCAGCACGGATACGGAGCGAAAGTATATCGCATCAGCAACGCTCTCAAAGCCACACCGACGAGGCCCCCGAAAAGAACACGCAATCGTCCGCACGCCAAAAACTCACGCGCGTGTAGGGCAAGAATTCTCGATCTTGCATATAACGTCGAAGAGGCGGAGGAATTTGCAGTCCTTCTGGCGTTTGCCAATTCTCCACGATGCAGCATAGCGCTCTTTCCGTTGCGCAGAGCGTTCCGCTGCGAGCCGAGCCGAGTCGAGCCGAGCGGCGGGGCAAAGGGAGATGCGAAGAAGCACAGGTTCGCAGGTGCGTCAGCAACACTCGTTCATCCTCAGCTCGGAGCCCCCCTTTCTTGAGAGAGCAAAAAAGGCTGAACCACCAACTCACTTGAGCATGTGCACAAATGTCCTCCTCGTATCACCCTGCCTCTTTGTTCCGCACTGCACTTCCAAGCTGCGAGACTCTGTCGACGGGGGTAGAAAGCAGTAGTGCAGGATGCGTGCCACGCTTTAGCTTCCACTGCGTCATCATCGTTTGGAGCGGGAGCGGAAGGGAAGGCGACTCACGGTAGTCTGTGCAGTTGGAGCAAGAGACCAATTCCTTGTATTCGCCTTGGAAAGGGAACCAAGCTTCCAAATCGTACTTTGCTGCTGCAGCATTGTTCAGCGCTCCCGAGACGATCGCGACGACTTGATAAGGTAGTCCGAGGGATTGATAGAACTCCTCCGAATTGGCCAGCATAGCGTCTAGCATGTCCCAAGAAGAGGCAGGGTCGGTGATGCAAAACTGCACGCAGTCGGGGCAAGACGGAGACAAGATCAGCATCGCGCGCATGCCATCCTTTTGCGCTGAAAAAATAGATCCACAACCTCACCTGCTCGATCTTTTCGAATTGGTGCACCCTAAAGATGCCCCACGTATCCTTGCCGTGCTTGCCTGCTTCCTTTCTGAAGCATGTAGAGTAGCCAGCGTATTTGAGCGGCAGCTGCGTCTCTGGTTTGTCAAAGAGCTCGCCAGAATGAAAAGCGCTGATGGGTTGCTCCGAGGTGGCGATCAGGTACTTGTCATCCTCATCGCCCGTGACCTGTCAGGCGAAGCAGAGCAGTAGGAAGGGCTGAGCGAGCCGAGCAGAGCAGGAGGGACCGCGGGCAAGTCTGCCTCCACACCCGCGCCTATGCGACCTCGCGCCCCCTCGCAGCTCACCTTGTACAGTTCCTCATCGAAATCCTCCAACTGAGCAGTCTTGCTCATCACATCCTTTCTCATCAAAAACGGCGTCATCATCTTGATGTAACCCTTTTTCCTCAAGAAATCCAATCCGTAATTGATTAGGGCTTGGTTGAGATCCACGCCGTCGTTGGTCAAGAAGAAACCTCTATGACCTGAAATCTTGGCCCCCCTGTCCGTATCAAAGGCTTGCAGACGAAGCATGACTTCGTGATGAGAGATGATGTCGCTGTGAAGGGGCGGAGCAAGCGGTGGCGTGAGAAAGGAGAGTGCGCTGTAGGCGCAGACGACGCGAAACGCACCTCTTCTTTTCGACTTGGGCGTTGGGACCATCCGGGTGCCAAGTGCGCAGCACCTTGTTATCGTCCTGGCAGCGGTACGATGGAAGGGAGTGAGCGCGGCGCTGCGCTGCGCTGCGGCAGAGTTGCTGTTCGGCAAAATGCGGCTGTTCGACTCACCTCTGTCTGGCTGACGGGGACCATATCACCGACAATGTTTCCAATCTTGTTGGCAGCCGATTTGAGCAACCTCTCCTTCTCGATGGCCAAAGGTCTAAGTCTAGCCGCCTCCTTATCCTTCTCCACCTTTCTCTTCAACTCCTCGCTCGCATCTTCTTTTGCCTTTTTCTTCGCTGTAATCTCCTTTTGAATGGCATTCACATCTCGTTGAGCCATGTTGACCGCGTGATCGGCTGCTACCCACTCCTTGTACAGCCCCACCACCTCGTCCACCAGCTCGGGTGCGGCTCCCCTCTTGGCTTGAGATGCTCGCACCACTTCAGGATCTCCGCCCTTGTCCGCTTGGATCTCTGCGAGAGTGGGGGGCAGGCAAGGGTCAGAGATTCGGCTCCCGCGGCGCTCGTTTGTAGTCGCCCCCAACAGCCCCACCCGCACTCACGCCAAAGATCGATCATGTTGAAGACGACGGGGGGAAAAAGTTGGCGCTGAGAGTGGTGGTGTTTCTGATCAGGGGACGTCGATAGTGGCAGCAGCAATTGCAGCAGCTACTTGTAAGCGCTGGCGATGGTGGAAGATGAAGATGAAGATGAAGATGAGTACGCTGCAAATCGTGGATGCATGACTCGGACTATGCTCTCTGCAACGATCCAGTCTGAAGAGTCGAGTCGATGCGAATCGCGCTTTTGCACAACAGTCAGGCAGGTGTGCGCATGCGTGGTTTGGAGGAAAGGGTCACGTGGTGCGTGCGTGCGTTGCATGGAGTGACCGACGCGTGTTGGGGCGCGGGCACTTACTTGACATGACGCGCGTGCAAGCGCGTGTGTGGCGCGGTGCGTGGTGGGCAATAGTCACGAGTGTTGCTTCCATCTTGACCCGCGTGCATGCTGCCTAGCCGTGACCTCGCACTCACGACTTCCACGTCACACTCGGCCATCCCATCGCGTTCCATTCACTCGATCTCGACTTTGTGAGTCAAGCTCTAATCACTCTCGCACCCACTCGCACACTCACTCACTCACGCACTCACTCACTCACTCACTCACTCGCTCACTCACTCAGCCACCCGTCAGCATTTCGAGCACGTGTGCGCACATCCCCCCCTATTTCTGAAAGCAGCAGCAGCAGCAGGCAACAACAACCCTCGAGTACGAGTAGGCGGCCTTCTGATCGCTTCCTCCCCATCCTTTGCTCCACTCCAGACAGACACTCATCCTCCCTCACATAGCCCGCTCGACATGGAGAATCCGCACGTGAGTGTTCCAAGGACACGCTGCATCATGATCCTTGCACAGCGCCCTCATCATCAGCTCCCTCCTCTCTATGCTCATCCCGCACGCAAACGCACGCACGCACGCACGCACGCACGCACGCTCGCACGCACAGGAAGAGCGTCAAACGCTGCTGTTGGAACGCATCATCAAGAATGTGGATCTGCTGAACGATGCGCTGTTAGAGCTGGATCGCAGCGTAGCAGAGATCAACACGCACAATCACGAAATCACCATCGCTTCAGAGTTGTGGGAAGGCGTGAGTGTGCGGGTGCGGGTGCGGGTGCGCAAGCAAAAGCAGAGCAGAGGAGTGGGGGTGCCGGGGGAGGGGGGGGGGGGGGGGGAGCCAGCACAGCACGAGATCTGTGGCTTTGTCCGCACCCCATGCTGACCTCTGCCGTGCCCACTGACTGCTCACCACTCGATATGCGCGGTCAGTATCGACGTAATGTCGCTTTCAACCTCGCCAACATGCAAGAGGCTCAAGGACAGGGACAGGGACAGGGACAGGGACAAGCGTCCACTTTCAATGCATCCTGAGGGGGGGCGCTCTTAGATTGCGATCAGGCGTTCGCCAAGGGGGAGAAAGAGGCGATGCAAAGGGTGTTGGAAGAAGATGTGCGGACAAGTCTAGGCGCCCCCATCGGCCCAGCAGCGCCGCTGCCTGACCCTCTCGGCAAGCTGGCGGGCGGACTCGAGATCAGACAGGTGGACGTTGAGACATCGACGATGAAATGCGAAAAAGCAGCAGCTCATCAAACGAACAGGAACACTTGCACAAGCCCCAATCCGTATCCCACTAACATCCGTGCAGCCTCATCACAGCTCCACCCACCTCGCGCCTCTTCATTTCGTCCCCCTTTGCGTCCGCTTCCACGACTTTTCGAAATCTACTCACTCAAGCAGCCTTCGGCTGCTTTGCTCCCCTTCGCCTCACTCCTTTCCTCCTCCTCGCCCCCCGCCTCGTCTCTTCTCGTCTCGGCCTGTCCTGCCCTGCCCCGCCCGAATCCTCGTGGCCTCGCAGCCCTGTATTTGTACCCCCCGCGCACCCACGTACAAAAGAAGCCGTGCATGCGCATCAGTATGCCGCATGCCTAAACGCGTTCAAGTCCAGTACCAAAACGTTGCGCCAAAAGAAAAACAAAAAGGTGTGGGCCTTTCCGAAGGGGGAGGGGGGGGGGGGGGGAATGTGGCAAGAAGGCAATTTTTCCTGAGCCTGGCCCCAATCCCCGGTGCGCCGCGCCGCGCCGCGCCCTCCAAGAAAGCAGAATCTGATTGTGGGACGCCCTCGCACACGTGTGAAAGCGTGAATGGCGCGCGCGCGACATGTCGTCTCGACGTTCGCTGTCGAGAAGAAAACCGAAACGCATGGATTTGCCTTGACCCTCGAGGAGGCCGGGGGAGTGGGGGCCGTACGACTACTAACTACAATACATCGTCCTTTCTCGCTGACGCGACTGTTCAATCG